CTGGAGTCCAGCAGGTCGAGGCTGCAGTGACCAGGAGCGGCCACTGCACTCCAGTCTGAGTGACAGAGTGAGACTCCAACTCAAAAAAAAAAAAAATTTTTTTTTGTAGAGACAAGTCTGACTGTATTGCCCAGGCTGGTCTTAAACTCCTGGCCTCATGCAATTTGCCTGCCTAGGCCTCCCCCAAAGTGCTGGGAGTATTGATCCACCTGCCTAGGCCTTCCAAGTGCTGGGTTCACAGGCATGCACCACCATGCCTGGTTAATTTTTCAATTTGTATAGAGACAGGGTATTGCTTTGTTGCTCAGGTTGGTCTAGAACTCCTGGTCTGGAGTAATCCTCTATTCTCAGCTTCCCAAAATGCTGGGGTTACAGGTATCAGTCACTGTGCCTAGCACATACACATTTTTCAAATACATAAAATAATATAGCATATTGTTAACAGATACAGACATTTGGTGAAAGTATAAAAATATGGATGGAGAAGCCTTGGTCCTAGCTATTTGGGAGGCTGCGACAGGAGGATCTCTTGAGGTCAAGAGTTGGAGGCTGCAGTGAGCCATGATCATGCCACTGAACTCGAACCTGGGTGACCAAGTGAGACCCGGACTCGAAAAGAAAAAGAATATGGATGTTTTTGAAGCCTGCTATTTTATTGTTCAATGTTGTTTTTGGTATATTTGATTTTTTTCTACCACATTATTTTGTGCATTCTATTTACTGTGATTTTTCTTTACTTCTTTTTCTCATTAAAATAAAGTTTTGTTTTTTTTTTCAAGATGTGAGGCACACTTCAGGGTTAGATATACAAACATTCATTATACAGGTACCCTTGTTGATGAGGTGTATTGTGTGTGTATGTGTGTGTGTGTGTATGTTTGGTTTTGTTTGTTTTGAGTTTGTGTCTCATTCTATCACCCAGGCTGGAGTGCAGTGGCATGGGCATGGCACACAGCAGCCTCAACCTGGGCTCAGGCAGTTCTTCTGTTTCAGCCTCCAGAGTAGTTGGTACTACAGGTAATTGTTGTAATGCCGACTAATTTTTTGATTTTTATAGAGACTAGGTCTTGCTATGTTGCCCAGGCTGGTCTGTAACTCCTGGACTCAAGCAATCCTCCCCCCTTGGCCTCCTAAAGTGCTGGGATTACAGGTGTGAGCCACTGCCTGGCCTCTTTTTCTCCTTTCATTTGTTGACTTGATATAATTGCCTTCTTTTTTTTTCTTATTCCCTCTACTTGTTTGGAAATGTTTCATTGTACTTCTTTTCTTTTATTGGTTATCCTGAAAATGTTTAACATGCATTCTTAACATTATGAGAACCTTAAAACACTTTTTGTTGTTGTTGTTGGTTTTTTTGATTTGGAGTCTCACTCCATCGCCTAGGTTGGAGTGCAGTGGCATACTCATGGCCACCCCAGCATCGACTTGCTGGGCTCTGGAGATCCTTCCACCTCTGCCTTCCAAGTAGCCGGAACTACAGGCACAAGTTACCACACCCAACTAATTTTTTTGATTTATTGTAGAGATGAGGTCTCACCATATTGCCCAGGCTGGTCTCAAACCCATAGACTCAGTCAATCCTCTCGCCTTGGCTTCCCAAAGTGCTGGGATTACTGGCTTGAGCCATTTCTCCTGGCTTAGAACACTTTAATTCTGATTATTACCTTTACTACCTCATCCATTTTCCATCATGCTATTATCTAATTTTTTGATTCTGTCTTCTTTTTTTTTTTCAGTCAAACTCTCACTCTGTCGCCCAGGCTGGAGTGCAGTGGCACGCTCACAGCCACCACAGTCTTGACCTACTGGGCTCAGGCAATCCTTCTGTTTCAGCCTTCCAAGTAGCTGGAACTACAGGCACACGCCACTACACCCAGTGAATTATTTTATTTATTGTAGAGATGAGGTCTCACCATGTTGCCCAGGCTGCTCTTGAACCCATGGACTCAGGCAATCCTCTTGCCTCAGCCTCCCAAAGTGCTAGGATTTCAGGCATGAGTCACCATACCTGGTTGGTTCTGCTTTCTTCTTTATTTTATTTATTTTATTTATTTATTTATTTACTTATTTATTTATTATTATTATTATTTTTATTTTTTTTGAATTGGAGTCTCGCTCTGTCGCCCAGACTGGAGTGCGGTGGCACACTCTCGGCCACTGCAGCCTCAACCTACTGGGCTCTGGCGATTCTTCCGCCTCATCCTTCCAAGTGGCTGGAACTACAGGCGCGCACTACCACACCCGGCTAATTTTTTGATTTACTGTAGAGATGAGGTCTCGCCAAGTTGCCCAGGAGGGTC